CACGCGTTGCTTACCACGTGCTGCACCTACCACGCATAGTACTTGCCACGCCTTGTATTTACCGCGCGTTACATTCACTACGCATTGATTTCTTACGCGTTGCACTCACCAAGCGTTGAATATATTGCATTTACCACTCGCCGCTAGCTCGAACCTGTCGCGATCGGGCTAATAACCATAGTAGTCGACGCCCGCAACAAGAATCAATCAATCAATCGAACCTGTCGCCCTCGCGTCTGCGCATGCGCAATCCTCGCGCTCTGATTTGTCCGTGTTTTTAGTTAATAATTCAGAAACGAAGCTTCAAGCCTCATTTTTGCAAAGGGAAATCTTATTCAGAATCACTGCGCCCATTTCAGTGAAATGGCGAAACGCCATGTAGATCTTCAAACAGATAAAAATATAATAAAGGTTGAGAACGTATAAAATACCCGAAGATATTAATAAATAAATATCAATATTAATAAATAAAAGTATGTCAGAGAATGAACAAATAAAATTGCCTTGTAGAAAGGAATATTATTAATAAATAAAAGTACGTTATTCAAGAGCGTAATCGAATGAATCAAAGGAGAAACAACAATAATTGTAGAGAGCACGAGAGCGTCCATAAACTGACGGTTGCTCGAAGCTATTCATCGCATAAATCGACCAAGTTTCATTGAAAATTCACATCTTTTTTTTTCTTCCCGTCGAACGATTCATTGAGAAGAATCGCCTACCTTTTGTCGCTCATTCACGCGTTTACCATCCAGGCTCGAAGCTTTTAAGCTCGCAAAAGTCGAGCGTGACACAATCGCGGATTCCACCGTGCAGCATTGTTCGCGTTTCAATCGCGTGACTGGATTCATATCGAACCGTCAACGATCTCCGCGTTTATTTATGGTGTCGCTACGAGCAGCAACCGAGATTACCAGCTTCGAGCAATCGAGATAGAGCGATCGCCAACACCCTCCGGGTACGTTGATAAGGAGCTTTCAACCGACGAGGGTGATTTTTAACCCGTAATGCGTATGCGTACCCTCCCTCTTTAGCACTTTAACTGCCACGTCACTCATATGTCACATGTACATTTTCATATGGATCTATATTATTTTCTTTTTTGTTAACTCATTGAAAGTATATTACCTACTTAGGACTATGAATAATTCATGGATATTGGGAAAATATTTGACGAGATTTGTTATATGTGACACTTACATTTTACACGTATGTGACTCATTTTAGTATGAATCTGTATTATTAACTATTCGTTTACATGACTCATTAAAAATTAGCTATTTAGGGCTACTAATAATAAATATCATATATTGTGAAAATAATTGGTCAGATTTGTTATATGTGACATTTACATTTTTATACAAATCTGTAATATTAAAAATTGATTTATGTAACTTGTTGAAAATATATTAGCTACCTAGAGCCACTAATAATAAATATCATATATCATGAAAGTATTTGGTCAGATTTGTTATACGTGACACTTAGCTTGTTTCTTGCTCATATCTCTTACATTACATAATTTCAAGAGTTCATTCCAAACCTGAAACCTATTAATTCCCCATCAACCGCAAATATCGTACAAGTAAAACCAAACGGAACAACAAAAGATCCGACACGGTTCGTCAATTTCCAAAAGCTGTTCGGAACATGTATCCCTCTAAATGACCAGCTAATACCCTTTCAGCTAAATTGTTTGCCATTGAATTTCGCAGGGACACCTTCGTCAATCTGCCCTCGTTGAAGATCCTCTACCTGAACGAGAACAACATCAGCACCCTGCACGACAAGGCGTTCAAGCATTTAACCTCGCTAGAGGAGCTCGAGCTGTTCGGCAATCAGATTAAAGTGATAACAGCGGACAGTTTTCACGGTCTGCGGAGCCTGATCCGATTGGACCTGCGCAACAATTCGATCGCCATGATCGGCGATCGCACGTTCATCGAGATGCCTTCGCTCAGAGAGTTGGAGCTCGATCAGAACGAGATCGTTTACATTTCGGAGAAAGCTCTGGACGGCATGAGGAACTTGAAGAAGTTGCGTCTGAGTGAGAACAAGTTGGTCACCCTGGAAGCCGACTTCCTAGCCGGCGCACCTGGCGTTTATTTCCTGGATCTCAGGGACAATCTCCTGAAGACCATCACCTTCGACAACGTGAAACCCATCGTCACCAACCTGTACAACAGCACCAGCCACTTTTACCTGAGCGGTGAGTGATTCAAAAATTATTTTGCTACCGAAGAAACGGCTATTCGATATGCGATGCATTATGCATCGAAGTAAACGCGGGTCGAGAGGTTAGATATAAATATTTTTCTACCCCAAACTCACCTTTCGACCCGTATTTAATAGCACCGTTTCGGCGATCTTTTATTCAGTACGGTATTATGTAAACATTTGAGATTAAGTAATTTTAAACTTCACGGATTTATCCTGGAAATGTTTTAATTATTGAGGTATCGTTTCTTCACAATTTTTTCGGTAGTCATGCAGGTTTTGAAACAACGTTAAGGGAGGTTAGAGTGTTAGGCACATTCTTATTATGATTGGAATTCAACCCCAAGATCAAGGTTAGGGAAAATATGAAACTCTGTTGTTACATTCGAACTGTAATGCGTCACTGGGTGCGTCATAGGTGCGTCGCGAGGGGTCATGGGTGCGTCATGAGGGGGTCATTGGTGCGCCATGGGTGCGTCACGAGTGGGTCATTGGATGTGTCATCGGTGCGTCACGAATGGTTCATTAGTGTGTCATGGGTGCGTCACGAGTGGGTCATCGGTGGGTCATGGGTGCGTCCCGAGTGGGTCATTTGTGCGTCATGGGTGCGTCACGAGTGGGTCATTAGTGCGTCATCGGTGCGTCACAAGTGGGTCATTAGATGCGTCATAGATGCGTCATGAGTGCGTCACGAGTGGGTTATTGGTGCGCCATGGGTGCGTCACGAGTGGGCCATAGGTGCGTCATGGGTGGGTTACGAGTGGGTCATTAGATGTGTCATCGGTGCGTCACGAATGGTTCATTGGTGTGTCATGGGTGCGTCACGAGTGGGTCATTAGTGCGTCATCGGTGCGTCACAAGTGGGTATTAGATGCGTCATAGATGCGTCATGAGTGCGTCACGAGTGGGTCATTGGTGCGTCATGGGTGCGTCACAAGTGTGCCACGAGTGTCTTGGGTGCGTCGTATGTGCGTCACGAGTGGGTCATTAGTGCGTCATGGGTGCGTCACAAGTGGGTATTAGATGCGTCATAGATGCGTCATGAGTGCGTCACGAGTGGGTCATTGGTGTGTCACGGATGGGTCATTGGTGCGTCACGGGTGTGTCACTAATGTGTCACAGGTGGATCATTGGTGCATCATGGGTGCGTCACAATATGGACAAAAGGTTAAAATTCCTTCACCTTGGAAGCCGTCTTCCTCGCAACAATTCCATATTTCAACATCTTAATATTTTACCTCGAATATAACAATAACTCGAGAATGGTAACACTGAGCAGCCTTAAAAATTAAACTTCCGTTTGCAAGTAACTCATGTCAAATTTATATTCACCCAGCTGTAAATCAAACATTCACGTTGCATCAATTATATGAATATCAAAAATATCCGAATCTCTTCAAGTTATAAAAGTTTAATAATTTTTGACGCAGCCATAAATAGCTGTCACTATCCGAGAATTTCAGTACGAAAAACTTGACCGAACCTCGGATAAAGTTTAATGAAACGAGCCGTATTTTATGAAGACGATTATTTAACAACCAGTCTCATCGACCGCAAAATTGAGATTCAAACTTTCTTCGAGGCTTTTTTCTTCGACGCTTAATAGATAATTTTCTGACGATCTAATGGCCGACGTTAAAGAATATGCCCGTGAATATCTGAAATCTCCCCGTTCACGTGGAGGGTAATTACTCGGAGGCTACGGGGATCAGACGATACTATCGCCCCATGAAATCTTTCATTTCGCTCGTTAAACGCGATGCGTACCAATTTTGCGGTTGTTCGACGGTTCAACCCCTGGGACACACCCCTTCTTCCGATTATCTTTTATCTTTTAACGATTATCATTCGGCTTAACGGTTTATCGATATACCGGACTATCATCCATCGAATGAGTACCCCGGGAGCTTTTTATTACCTTTATAGTTACTTGCTTATTGCTGGCGTTCAGAATTTAAATATTTGATATCTTAGGGGTTGGATACGTTCTTAAGGTTTTGATCTGGAAGTGGTAGGTTTTAACAACGTGGACTTTTTAGATGCTTAAAGAATTTTGTAACTAATTTTGTACGTGTTAAAATTGTGGACTAAATGATTTCATGTAATATGTTTTTGAAATAGTGGAAGAATTCATGTGGAATTTTTTTTTTGGATTTTATTGATGAGGTACTTTTAATATTTGTATTTGGACTTTTGCATGTTGAAGATTTGACAACTTGACAGTTTGACAGTTTGAGACTTTGACAATTTGACAATTTGATTATTTGACAATTTCATTATTTGACAATTTGACAATTTAACAAGTTAACAAGTTGATAATTTGACAATTTAATAATTTCACAAGTTTACAATTTTACATGTTGACAAGTTGACAAGTTGATAATGTGACAATTTAATAATTTGGCAAATTGACAATGTGACAAGATGACCATTTTACATGTTGACAATTTGACAAGTTGATAAGTTGACAAGTTGACAAGTTGACAATTTAATAATTTCACAAGTTGACAATTTTACATGTTGACAAGTTGACAAGTTGATAATGTGACAATTTAATAATTTGGCAAATGGACAATGTGACAAGTTGACAAGTTGATAATTTGACAATTTAATAATTTCACAAGTTGACAATTTGACATGTGGACAAGTTGACAAGTTGATAATGTGACAATTTAATAATCTAACAAATTGACAATGTGACAAGTTGACAATTTTACAAGTTGATTAGTTGACTAGTTGACAAGTTGACAAGTTGACAAGTTGACAAGTTGACAAGTTGACAAGTTGACAAGTTGACAAGTTGACAAGTTGACAAGTTGACAAGTTGACAAGTTGACAAGTTGACAAGTTGACAAGTTGACAAGTTGACAAGTTGACAAGTTGACAAGTTGACAAGTTGACAAGTTGACAAGTTGACAAGTTGACAAGTTGACAAGTTGACAAGTTGACAAGTTGACAAGTTGACAAGTTGACAAGTTGACAAGTTGACAAGTTGACAAGTTGACAAGTTGACAAGTTGACAAGTTGACAAGTTGACAAGTTGACAAGTTGACAAGTTGACAAGTTGACAAGTTGACAAGTTGACAAGTTGACAAGTTGACAAGTTGACAAGTTGACAAGTTGACAAGTTGACAAGTTGACAAGTTGACAAGTTGACAAGTTGACAAGTTGACAAGTTGACAAGTTGACAAGTTGACAAGTTGACAAGTTGACAAGTTGACAAGTTGACAAGTTGACAAGTTGACAAGTTGACAAGTTGACAAGTTGACAATTTCACAAGTTGATTAGTTGACTAGTTGACAAGTTGACAATTTGACAAGTTGACAATTTGACAAGTTGATTAGTTGACTAGTTGACAAGTTGATTAGTTGACTAGTTGACAAGTTGACAGTTTGACTAATAAAAATTTTGCAATTTGTAAATTTGTACATTCGAATATTAAGAACTTGGAAACATTGGAATCTGAAAATTTAACAATTTGACAATTTGCCCACTTGACACTGTAACAATAACACAATAGATAAATTATCAAGTTATAAATTATTGAACCTTCACTTCTACCAAATCCCACACAAACCCAAAAGCACAAATCTCCCACCGTAGAATCTCTACATTTGAATTTCCAACATGTTGCTCGCTTGACGACCGTAAACACCCCAAATTAGTTGACATCGTCATGAATTTATCAATCAGCCGATAAATATTGACAATCGAGCAGTTTGTTCTCGAATTACCATGTATGTCCTCGTCTAATTCAAATCACTTAAACAAACAGCAACAGTTTGTAATCTGAACAATCTCGCATTGTCCACTCAACACTCAAATTTGGCGCCCCTGAAAACTTTCCCTCCATCAAAACAGTTTGTCATACTAGTGTTTCTATTACCTTTAAAGTATTGTATTATCAATTCGAATGAATGAACTTTTGGCACCGGATACGGAAGCTGGATGCACGATTGATTTAAAACAGGCCACCGTAACCGCTTCTGAAAAGCAGATAACGTTCAGGGTCGGCCTTTTTGCCGGTCTATGGTAATTTCAGGGTGGATGAAACACGTTTCTGGGAACAGACCAGACTCCACTGTATCGGAAACTGGGCGACGCTTGGAAATATTGTGCTGTGGATTATTTACATTTCAAACTAGGGAGTCGAGCGACTGGCACTGATGGGAAGCTATCCTCTTTTTTTTATTCATTTTTCTGTTCGTTTCCTCGCGTTGGATACGGATTATGAAGATATTTCATTGAGGTTTGATTACGGTGCACGTGGAACGAAACTGGACGCATAAATATTTCACGAATTCGGGGACGAAACTCGATATGAAGTCTGATAAATATTTTCAACGTGAATTTTATTATTATTTGATTTTCGTTATTTATTATTTGGTTATTTATTTATGTGCTTGAAATTGGAGAATTATAGTTGTTACAAAATTATGTTCTTATATGGACAGATTGAAAATACAAGTTGAAAATTACCTAGAAATCAAAAAATTTCCCTAGAGATGGAACAATTCTTTGAAACCTACAAATTTCCCTAGAAATTCAACATTTCCTTGAAACTTAAAAATTTCCCTAGAAATACATTTCCTTGAAACCTAAAAATTTCCCTAGGAATTGAAAATTTCCTTGAAACCTAAAAATTTCCCTAGAAATTGAACAATTCTTTGAAACCTAAAAATGTCCCTAGAAATTGAAAATTTCCTTGAAACCTAAAAGTGTCCCTAGAAATTGAAAATTTCCTTGAAACCTAAAAATTTCCCTAGGAATTGAAAATTTCCTTGAAACCTAAAAATTTCCCTAGAAATTGAACAATTCTTTGAAACCTAAAAATGTCCCTAGAAATTGAAAATTTCCTTGAAACCTAAAAGTGTCCCTAGAAATTGAAAATTTCCTGGAAACCTAAAAATTTCCCTAGGAATTGAAAATTTCCTTGAATTCTAAAAATTTCCCTAGAAATTAAGCATTTCCTTGAAACCTAAAAATTTCCTT